CACGCACGCACACAAAACACAATAACACGGATGTTAAATTCAATACACGATCAAAACATGGAAAATTCTAGAGAAAATTATTAATATTAGTATTATAAGGAAGTATAAATTTTGTTTTTGGTAAGAGTAAAAAAAAAAAGGAATCTGGAATATTGTGAGAAACGGAACAATCATCAAAATGGCCGACCGTGTGAAGGAACAACCGAATTTTTTTTTTATTTTTTTTATCTCTATAATAATTATCGCCATTAATTTAAATTTTACGCGTGCGTTTCGTCGTATTACGTGCGTTTTTATCATTTCGTCGTTTTCAAAATAAAAAATTTCTCACACATTCGACGGTTCCCGATGGATTTTTTTTTTAATTCACGTAAATAAAAACATATTAAAATGAGTAGTAAAAACAAAAAGGTCATTGACTCCTTTAAAAAAACACGCTCATTGATAAGTATTGATAAGTATTAAACATAATGAGAAGAAAAAAAAAATTTTTATCGTTTTTAAATATCCAAATTAGGTGATCAAAAGGTGAATGTGACTTTTATTCATTTTTTTTATCCTCTCTCTCTCTCTTTCTCTCTCTTTTTCTCTCTCTCACATTGCAAAATTTATTGAAATAATAATGATAATAATGATTAAACAATTTTTTCTTTTTTTTTTTAAATAATTAAATTAAAAATTATTGTGGAATCATTGATAATCAATCGATTTATTTACGTTATGACGTCAAAATGAGAGAAAAGCAGAAGACAGATGGTACAAGCCGAAGAAAATAAGGGAAATTTTTCTTTTTTTTCCCTGTTTTTTCTTCTTCCACGTCAAAATGTTAAATTTACCTGATGTATCGCGATGAAGAGTCGTTTCGACTAATGAAGTGACCGTATATTATTATTAATAATAACGCTTTAATGTTTTTTTTTTTTTTTTCTAAATTTATCTTAAGTACCTTTCAGGTACGAAACACGTACGCGCACGCGCACACACGCAATAAAATCTTGAAAATAAAACGACAAAGAGATTTTTATTTTAAAAAATGAAGAAAAAAAAAAAATAGTTTCTGCATTAGGTAAGAATATTATTATTATTTTTTTTTTATCGATAAATACAAATAAAACCTTGAAATAATAATAATAATAATAATAATTGTTATTATTATTATTATTATTTCAATCGTATACACGAACCTTAATTTTTTTTTTTTATAAAAAAAGAGGTTAAAGTTTTAGTTTTTTTTTTTTTTTAAATAAAAAATTGGCACAAATTTTTATTAAAACCAGTTTAATTTGCAAAAAAAAAAAAAAAAATTTTTTTTGTTGTTGCCTTGAAATAATAAATAAATAAAATTTAATTAAGATACCTGAAAGAGTACCTATTATTATTATTTATTGTAAAAAAAGAAAAAATTAAAAATGGCCGCTTAATGACGAAAACGACGACTCGGGTTTTTTCTAATTTAATATTTGTTTTACGTAATTACTATTATTAAAAAATAATAATAATAATAATTTCGTGTCACGTTTATATATATAAATACATAACTATAATTAAATTTTGGCAGGTACTACCCGTTTGTTATTTTAAAAAAAAAATGGCGCGAAAAAAAAATTAAATAAAAAAAAATTCAAAAGCAAGTTTAAGGTTAAATTCGTTATATTGCGAAAAGAAAAAAAATTAATTATTATTATTATTATTTAAATAATTTTAATGGATTCTTATCAATCATTCGTTTGTCTTATCATCAACTTATTATTATTATTATCGACGATATTATTTGTTTAAAAAGGAAAATGGAAAAAGAAAAAAGAAAATTTTAAAAAACCAGTCTTAAAAGTCATTTGTCCCTTTTTTTGTGATTTAAATGTAATTTTTTTTTTTTTTCTCTTGACCTAAATTTAGTATAAAAAAAGAAAAAGAAAAAGGTAAGCAAAACGTTTAAATAATGCATTAAAATAATAATAATAATAATAATAATAATAATAATAATAATAATGGTAATAATAATAATAATAATAACGGTTGGAAAATTTTTTTTATCATCGTGATGAAAATGAAAATTTTTTTTTTTTTTTTAAATCAATTTTTTACTACTACTACTACTGCTACTAAAATAAAAAATTTCCAAATTTAGAAATTTTTGTAATTAAAGTTAACAAACAAAACAGGCAACAAACAAACAAACAAACAAACAAAGTGCGAGATAAACATGAGCCGATGATACCGCGCAAACAACGACAAACGAAATCCTAAAAAATTAATCATTAAAATTTTTATCATTTTAAGGTCGGAGGTTTACCTTTTTTTTAGGGGGGGGGGAGTGAGGGTAGGGAAGGGACATTTTCCAAATTTTCCTAAATAAATATTTTCCCGCCTCCCTCCCCACTCTCGTTATATAATAACAATAAAAAATTTTGTAATTTTGCAAAGTAATTAAAAAATAAGAGAGACTCATTAGTTCAATGACATTAAATAAATAAACAAATTGTAACAAAAAAAAAAAAAATTTAAATTCGATACCTTTTTCTCTCTCTCTCTCTCTCTCTCTCTCGTTTAAACTTTTTTATTCAATGAACTAAATTTTTTTTTTTTGCTGTCGTTTGTGTGTGCGTTGCTGCGGTTGTAATTTGATTAGTAATAATAATAATAATAATAATAATGTGAGTGTTTGTAATTTTACGGTGTCATTCATGTTTACAAATCTTACGAAGAAATTGCGTTAAAAACAAAAAAAACTAATTTTAACGCACACGCACACACCACGTGGTGTTTTCATTATTTTCGTAGTTATAATAATAATAATAATAATAGTAATAAATTTAATCGGTCGCGTTTTTTACATTCGCGAATTTCTGTTTTTTTTTTTTTTAATAAAAAATCCTAGTTTGAGTTTTTTTTTCCTTTTTTTAATTCGACTTGCAAAATATTTATAAACAATTTTTTTTTATTTAAACAAATTGCTTATGTTAACTAATTTTAATGAGTCCTAATTGTCCTCAATTTTTTTTTTATTATTGTTACCAATTAATTCATCTATTGATAATTAATAATTAATTAATAATTAATTAAAATCGATTTGCAAAAAAAAAAATTTTTCAAGTACGTCCATTAAACCGATCAAAATTACTTATCGATAATTTATTAATAATAATAATAATTAAACACACACGTGTATTTAATAAATAATAATAATAATAATATATGTAATTTTTTAGTATTAACATACAAATTATTATTATTATTAAATATTTATGTTAATTAATAACAAATAAACTTTTTGCCTTTTTTTTTATAAAGTTCAAAAATAATTTTTTTTTTTTTTTATCTCGTTTGGCCAACTGCTCTTTCACCTACTGTTAAATAATAATATTAATAATAATAATAATAATAATAATTATTATTATTATTATTATTATTATTATTAATTTTTCCGTTAATCGATGGTAGATGGCAGTTCAAAAGGCATTTTTAAAAAAAAATTATTTCTTCATTTATTTATTAATTTTTTTTTTTTTCCTCGGTAAAAAAAAATTTAAATTAAATTTAAATCGTTTCAAACGAGCGTTAATTAATTAAATAATTAAATAAATAAATAATAATAATAATTACTGTTGGTAATTTTTACCGGAAAAATTAAATGAAAATTTTTTATTAAAAAAACTTTTTACCGTATAAAAAATTAAAAACGCGTTAAATATTATTATTATTATTATTATTTATTTATTTATTTAATTTGTACGTTTTTTCGTCGTCGAGAGTAGAAAGTTATTAATAAAAAAATAAAATAAATAAAATATACACAAACCTACTTGTTTAAAATTAAATTAAAAAAAAATAAAAAACAAAAACAAACAAAAACAAACAACAACAAAATTTTATCCTTTTTTTTAAAAAAAAAATTATTATATATAATGTTTTATAAAAAAAAAAAAAATAAATAAATAAATAAAGGATGAAAAAAAATTAATAATAATAATAATAATAATAATTTGTCAAATATCAAGTGTACGAAAATAAATATGTTAACATCGCCGCCGCGCCGCGCACTCACACCTTACCACAATGAATCCCCGTAACAACTGAATATATTATGTAACCATTGCAGCTACGATTTTTACATCCATTGGAAGGATAACAACTATTACATTTCATAATAATAATAATAATAACGTGTATATTCGCGCTATTAATTTGCACTTGATTCTTGTACTTTGTACCACCGTTTGTTGTTGTTGTTGTTCTTGTTCTTACTTCGTTTTATTATATATTGTCACCGTTAGATAGCGTATGTTTCTAAAAAAAAATACCCAATTTTTCTTTCTTTTCTTTTTAATTCAAACTACAAATATATTTTTAATTTTTTTAATTATTAATTAATAATTTTTTTTATCGAATCGAATTATCGATAAATAATTCGCGAAATGAGTTACATAAATTTACACGCCATGTTTTTTCTTTTCATTCATATTTTCCCTATTTTACTCCCTTTTTTCCCCCCATTCTCCAGAACATCAACTATAAAATATTATTAACAACATTAATTTATAAAATAATTTTAATTTTACTACTAGGAATTATAATACTGTGTATATATAAAAAAAAAAAAAAAACTATTATAAATAACTTCTAAACATGTAAACCACAGCTTTAACCCAATATGGTATTTTTCTGTCTGATTGTAACCACGTATCCTCGGTGAATAAATGACAATAATTATATAAATTTTTTCTTTCCAGTGATAATTCATATTGAAGATTTTCATTCAGAGTACCGGCAAGAAATTGACATTCCAAATCGTGTTTTACCGATCTTTCTCCTGGAATTTTTTTTTTTTTATTATGAAAGGTAGGAATTGATAAAAACAAATAAATTTAAATTTAACAAAATTACCAAAATTTGGAGAGCCTATCATTGTGATAAAAGGCAATTCGAAGTCTTGAGAACTACACCAGAGGCCTTTGGCATGATACGTCCAATCCGGCCTTTTGTATTCAAACATTTTTATCCTGTGGGATTGTTTATTAACGTTTATTTTTTTAAGAAACATAGAAGCTATGTGAGTATACGCAAAAGGTATTCCTCCAGCGGGAAATTTAGCATTGTAAAAACCGTTAGCCTGGAAAATAAAAAAAAAAATGCGTATATTGAACGTTCTTGAAAGGTTTAGGTACAGGTAAATTTAAAACTGCTTACTGTGGGATGTGCCATTAAAATTTTAAAATCAGCTTTCGATTTGTGAATGATTGTATTTACATATGATTCGGTTAAATTAAAATAACCAGTCGTGAGATGCAAGTTAAAATTTTCATCGCATTTTTCCAAAAGTTTATTCGTCACTTGACTGTCTGTGTGAATGTTAAAAGGTCCCATTTCCAAAAGTGGAAATATCACAGTATCACCTTCATCTAAAATAATAACAATAGCATTAAGTAAATTTTCATTTGTAATGAAAATGGGGGAGTAGAAAAAAAAAAATTAAAAAAAAAAAAAGAAAAGTTTCGATATTTAGAGATATTGTATATTTTTTTAAAATTACCTGATGTCGTGGGAGTTTCATCGATAAAGCTTTGATAATAATTTTTTATAGATGTTGAAGCTGCAAAATTAAAAGTTTTTGAATCTGTTTTACTAGGATCCAAATCCCAAGAATTTTCTATTTTTAATGTATCATCAGAATTTAAATTAAAAGAAAATTCTCTGATTTTATCGATTAGTCCTTCGATGAAATCGCATAATTTTTTAGTTTTTTTAATAAACATATATCTGTCTTGTCTATTTGTGAAATAATCGCTACTTAAATTAGCCCTGTAAAAAAAAAATTTGAAAAATTATTTACTAATACTTTTATTTTGAAAGCCATTCAGAAAAAAATTATTTTACCCAGTTATAATGAAATTGTCATCGAATAAATAAATTTTAATGTGTTGGAGTCCTGCAATTTCTTGATATTTCGTTGGAAGACATGACATTAAAGGATTTTGAGTATTCGGATTTTGATAAAGACTTACCTATAAAATTTATAAATCAGACATGATTAATTTAAAAAATTAATTAGTATTAAAAAATTTAAAATAAAAACCTTAACATACTTTACAGGAGTTTTCAAAATTTTTTAAAAGTGGTAATAACATTTGTCTGGAATTTATTTTACCCCTTGATCCTCTCGTACAATCTAACAATATTTTAACTTTTAAATTAGGTTTCTCTTGCAATCTTTTCTGTAAAACTTGCACCAAATTTTTTTCTAATAAACCAGTTCCCAAATAAAGAGAAGAAAGTACAATTCTTTCATTGGCATTTTCAATTTGTCTTAATAATAAATTATAAAATGAATGTGGTTCATGTAAAATTTCAATCTGAAAATTAATTATTATTATTATTATTTGAGAAAATAAACAAAATTTAAAAATAAATTTAATACTTGCTTGATTACTATTGATAAAAAAAGCAGGCGCATGATTTAAAACCCATGACAATCCTAACTTTTGTAAAAAAATATTTGTGTTAAAAGTTTCCATTAAAGCGGCAGGATTAAGGTTTTGTGACATAGAATGTTTCCAAAGACGAGTTGCAAAATTATTGGCCATGTCCAATATATTTAACATTGTCATTTAAAACTAAATAAAATAATTTGAACGGGAATTAAATAAATATTATATTTTATTTTTAATAAAAATTCAATCGTTTTCATTATAAGTTATATCATAAAAATTTTTTTTTGGTTGAAAAAGTTTAATAATAATAATAATAATAATGTATCAAAAACAGTACGGGGGCAACCGCATTTTAGCAGAATAACTTTTATATGACTGTTGGTTCCTGCCACGATCAATAGCGGTAACTACGTTCGAAAGTTTGTTTATTAATAAAGAAGTGATTGATTGATTGATTGATTTAATTATTTATAAAATGCAATCGGAGATAGGTAAATGTAGTACTCCGTCGACATCGAGTTGTAGTAATACAAATTTACAAGATGCAACAAAAAGTTATCGTCACGAACGCGAAACTGTTGAATTTAGCGTAAAAGGACCTGTCGGTATAAGTTTAAACGATGACAGTATAACAAATTCAGGTTGTGCTGTTTTAGATCTAATATTTTCAATGCCATCACAAGTAGGAGAAATAACTTTTCGAAATTATTATACCATGTGGCTGAGTATTTTAGTTAAAATTAATTTAAATTTCTCAGATAATGATAACACGGGAAACAATACATCGAATGCGTCCTCTGCTAATAACTGTAAGAGTGACACAACAACCGACTGGATAAAATCCGTTCCAAAAAAAATTATTATGCCATATCCTCATTACGAAACGGGGAGTCAAGATATTGTTTGCATTCCAGCTACCGAAAGCATTGTAGAATGGAAAAATTTAGTAGCCATGAGATTAATATTAAGACAACCATCTCCCGTTTGGAAAACATTTCACGTTGAAGAAATTAACGTGTATAAAGATTTACCGAGAAGGGGGGCAAACAAAGAATCTCCTGCCGAATCATTAATGCTGTTGGTAAAAAAACAAACGATTGCTTCCCTAAAATGGATACCTAAAACGGAACACGTTCCTAACGAAACTTTTGGTGCTTATGAATTTAGTAATCTTCCTCAGCCTTAATTTCATTTTTTATAAAAATTCAATAATAATATATATAAAATAGTATTTTGATCAAAAGAAATTTTTTTTTTTAGATGTTAAATTAATTTTTACTTATTTAAAAAATCAACAATTTATTGCTTAAAAAAAAAAAAAACAAAATACATTTCACAAATGCACTCAAAAAGTACGGTTATTATGTATAATTTCATAATTAATAAACATTGTAGTAAAAATTATATATATAAATATACTTTAAACATAATTTATATATTATTATAAAGTAAAAAAAAATTATATTATTATTATTATTTCTATGATTAGTTTAATCAAATCACTACCGTTAGAAATTTATAAACAAAAGAATTGTAAATAATTTATCATAACTAAATCTAAAAAATTTAATAAAAAATTTTCTTTTTTTATTAAAATAATAAAACTAAACCTCGAGTTAGCAATAAAATAAAATAAAATAATAAAAAATCAAAAGCTAAGTAAGGTTATCAATTATTTAACCATAAAATTAATTTTAAGAATTTTTTTTTTTTAAATAACGATTCCTTTAGCTTTCGGATAGTATTATTATCATCGATGTAATAAATCCAAAATAGAAAAAAAACCCTGTAATTTTTTTAAATTTATTGTTGCATCGAATAATTCAATTTTTAGTTTAACTCTTATTATTATTATTATCATCGATTTAAAATAATGTAAATGTCCTTAAAAATAAATAAATAAATAAAAAAGGCACTCAATCGTACCAGCCGATTATTTATATATATTTATACTCAAATAAATACATTATTAAATTATTTTAATAAATTTTTTTTTTTTTTTTCGGTTGTAAATATTCAGAAAATGTGCCTTTAATTTAATCATTTTTCATTTTTTAAATTTTATTTTGCCAAAATATATATTTATGGAAATGAGGGATGTAGTAGTAGTTTAAGGTAAAAAATGTTCATAAAACTTTTCTTTGAATGGACCCCTTTTTTTTTTTTTTATGAAATCAAGGAATTTACGGTAGAGATTCTTCAATTATTTTCGTGTAATATTCTTCGTAAACGGCTCGATTGTGAGAAGTTAAACGAAGAAAATTTCCTGCTAATTGCGTCACTTCCTGTTGCAAACTTGAAAATCCAGGAGGGATTTTCATAGGTTCCGCCGTTTGCGATGTTACGGTATCCAATAAAAATTCTCTGATTCTTTGATCTAGAAAAAAAAATAATGATGATATTTTGCTACGTAAACTACTCTCAAAAGTTAAATAAATAATTCATTTTGAAAATTTAAATTATACTCACGTAGCAAACATTTAATTTTGTGATTTTTATCCGTTAATTCTCCCAATTTTAATGCTAAATTTCCAACGTTTATTTGATTTCTTCCCACGTCGTACTGATCGACAGCTTTCACAATGTCGTGTTTTAATTTTTCCGAAATTTCCTCTAGCACGACTTTTAAATCGTGGCGTTCTTGATTGTCCGCGTTTAACAGGGTTAATATATCATCTTTTAATTTATTTTTAAAATCTTGTATGGAGCATAGATCCGGTCCTGATTGTGCAAAAGCGAGAAGCAAAACGGCTCCTATTAAAATTAATTTTTCGTGTTCTTTTTTTAAATCGAGTATGCGACCTTTATCCATGATGGCCGTCTGAAAGTTTTATTTAATGAAAATGTATTAAAGTAATCTTATACGTATTTATTTTTTAAATATATTTAATTAAAAATGAAAATTACTTCTGGAAATTCTTGTGTTTCATTCCATTCGAGCAATTCCAAGTAAGCACTATTAATAACGGCTGTAATTTTTTTAGATTTTTCTGCATATTGTTCGGCTGCACTCAAATGATTTCTTAACCATTTTTTCGTTAATATCAAACAATCTGTAAATAATATCGTAAACCAAATAAAAATACATAAAAAAAAAAAATTATTTAAAAATTTTTCCAAATTTGTAATAAATAAATTTATTTAATTTTTTTAGGAATTACCTTGGTCTAATTTTAAAAAATCAGCAAATTTTTTTTTTTCATATTGAATACTGTTGGCAACAATTTGAGGTCTCATAACATTTATTGTAAAATTAGCCATGTCTAATTTCATTAAATCTATAGTTTCCAAAATCCCTTTGAAAACTTCGACAACATCTGTCGTTTTTGTAAGGCTAGCAATTTTTTCATCTCTAACAGGAGCACAAAGTTTTCCCATGACGGATATGACATACTGAGCATATTGCTGATTTAAAAATAAAAAATAAACAAATAGAAAATTTGATTTGCTTTAATTTAATTTAAAAATTGCCAAATAATATATATAGTTGGTACCTGAAAATCTAAAGTTCCTGCATTGGCTTGTTGTTTTATTAATTCCACATCTAAAACTTCAGAAATTTGCTGTCTGATTTTTGTGTGTTGGGGTAGTAAAAGCTCTAATAGACCATTTTTAATTTCACCCAACAAAACCATTGCTTGAGTATAATTTGGAGGATCCTCAGATAATTCTGTTTTAAGTACATCCCAAAATGCTCTGTGAACAACATCTTCAACTTTTTTCTCTAAACTGATAAAATTTAAATTTTATTATTAATTTGATTATAATAAAAAAAATAATAATTTAACGCTTAAATTTTTTTTTATAAAAATTTTACCTGTTTTGAGGTGCTTCAAATTTTTCTAATTTAAAATCTTTATTGACAGCAATTTCATGTGCTAAAACCATGTTTGTGACACCATTAGCAGCTCTCATCAATTCTTCTAAAGAAATAAATTTTGGAGGCGAAGCAGGAATTTCTCCAGATGTTCCATAATTACCTTGACCGAGGGAGGTTGTTCGTTGTCTACTCGAGACATTTTTTTAAATTTATAGAAACTGATTCATCAAAAAAGTTAAAGAGAAAAAAGGTTATAGGTATATTTTTATTTGAATTAAACTCACCTTTTTCCCTGTTCTGATTCTTCAGACTCAACTGATGTTGTTGTATCATACTCTTTTTTTCTAGCACCTGTATTATTTTCCTCAGACATTTTTAATGAAAATAAATTTAGGATAATTCCAAGAAAAGCTTAAGAAGGAATTTATATATATATTTTACAAATACATTTGTAATTTAAAAATAAAAAAATTGCGTCAAATTAAATAATATTACGTGCAAACAAGGAATGATGATGACAAAGGATTTTTTTTTTTTCTTAATTTTTTTTTTAAATATTTTTTTTGGACGTTGTAATTAAAATTTCACAGAATCTGCGAAATACAAGTCCCATGACTGAAATTTCGACAATAAAATGAACACAAAATTGTTATTTTTAATAAGTGATTTGTACATAATAAATTTAACTTTTCTAAATGCGTATTTTTTTTTTTTAAGCCATATCGTATTTTTTTTTTTTTTTTTTTTTTTAAATATCAATTGTAGCAGACGACTTAATTCGGATTCGATTAATCGAATCTAATAATATCTCGTTAAGTCTCGATTTCTCTCTTAAATTCGAGTACATATAATTTAATTTATTAACTTTTTAATTTTTTTTTTTTTTTTTTCAGAGTTTAAAATTAACGAATTTATGTGAATTAACTGATTGTAAATTTAAATTTAATTTTATTTCAAAATTTTCGGTAAGAGAATTATCAGTTAATAAGGTATCTAAAAATAATTTTAATAATTTTATCCATTTTAGGTTATACCTGTTACTTTTTAATTTAAAATTTTCTTTATATCAAAGATGACAAATAATTTTAATTAAGTATAATTTTACAGATATGGAAGAGGAAATTGAAGGCGATCCCATGGAAATATTGATCAAGAAACACAAAAAAGAAAAGAAAGAACTTCAAAGTAAAATTCAAAGTTTAAAAAAAAGTGCTGTCAAAGGGGATAAGAAAAAAAAAAAAGAAGTTCAAGAAGAGATTTTGACGCTTGAAAATCAACTTTCAAAAAAACATGATGAAGAAATTCAACAAATGAAACTAATATCTAATAATCAAAATCAAGAAAGTAATTTATTAAATTCAATAGATAATCTCGAAATTACTGATAGTAAACCTGTCAATAAAGTTTCGAAAGCTCAAAAAAGAAGAGATAAAAAAGCAGCAGAGTTAAAAGAAAGAGAAAAAAGAATTTTAGAACAGGAAGAAGAAAATAAAACAGGTAGCAGAAGTATAGAAACTGAAAAAATTAATGACGAATTAAAAAAAAGAGGTTTAATGATTTATAACATAGAGGCTGATGGTAACTGTTTGTACAATGCTATCGATCATCAATTAAAAATGAAAACCAATTTTAATTATGGCGTTAAAGAACTTAGGAAAAAAACAAGCAATCATATAAAAGAAAATCAATCTGATTATTTGCCATTTTTAAGTAATTCAAATACAGGTGAAATGATGACGGAAAAAGACTTTAACGAATATTGCAACAACATAGCCAACACAACCAATTGGGGGGGACAGGTAGAATTAAGAGCATTGTCACATGTAATTAAAAAACCAATCACAGTAATTCAAGCTGATGGTCCACCATTAATTATGGGTGAAGAATTTTTAGATAATAATGACAGTCTAATTATTAGTTATCATAGACACATGTATAAACTGGGAGAACATTACAACAGTGTTCAACCATATGAAGAAGATGATTTTTAAATCATATTGTTTTTAATCAATCAATGAATGAAAAAATAAAATAATTATCATTATTTATACAATGTAAAACTCTTACGAATAAAATATATATTATTTAAACTCAAATGCAATCAAATATATTTTAATGAAATTGCCATTTTTTAAAATCAATTCGAAAATATTTAAACTGTTGTATTTGTTAATTTTATAAATGATTGTCCTTTGATACCTGTTTACAAATTTGTGTAAAAGAAAACTGTCAAATTAATCCGTTTAATGATTATGTGTTTTTTTTTTAAAAAAAGTTTTCGATTGTAAAAAAAGTAAATAACATTTCATAAAACTAATCGAGAAGTTATTGTTACAGAAGGTATTTTTTACAAATGGTATTTTAGTATTTATTTATTTAAATAAATGAATAAGTTTATGGTTAAATGCATCCTTAAACAAAATAAGGTAAAATATATATTTTTTGTAACGATAGCAATATCGATTAAACGGTTTTGAAAAAAAAAAAAAAAATGTCTGAGAAGAAAATTTTGACAATAGAAAATGAAGAAATAAAACGGGCACTTTCGTTATTTCCATATTTTGATACTTGGGATGATAATGTCATTGTCAAATGTTGTCAAGTCAGTGCCATAATAGAATTTCCACCTGATAAAATTATCAAAGGTAAGTATATGCACGGTTATTATTTAATTGCATGTTTTTTTTTACAAAAAGCCATCTTTCCAGATGCAAATTCATCAAATGCACAAATGACTTTTTTTATTTTGGAGGGAACGAGTAAAATAATATACAAATTACAAGTATTGAAAAAAAAAGATTCCTTCGGTAATACCTATTATAAATTTTACAAACCTAAAAAGGGGGATAATTCAAATACGATTTTTAAAAAAGGTGAATATTCATCCATACTTCTTAATACGAATGAAATAACGGGAGAAGAGGAAACGAATCTAATGATTTCCGGTACAAATTCTTTCGAAAATGAAAAAAAACCGTTAAATTTAAAAAATGAAGGAGAAAAAACTAACGAAGGTACGTATAATTAATATTTTGATTTTTTTTTACTTAATTTAACAAAAAACGAGTCATAAAATAAAAAAAAATATTTAAGATAATCATCAACCGGAAGTCGTTGAAATCGGCGTCCAAACAAAAAATTCAACGGATATAAATAATGATGATGATGATATAAATAAATTTGAATTTGATCATCACAAAAAAATATTAAAAGAATGTCGGGAAAAATTAGAAAAAATAAGAAAAAAACCAAATAAAACAATTTTAGATTTAAAAAAGGAAAAAAATGTCGAAACGATTTTTATGGAAGTTGCTTTTTTTCGTAAAGGTGGTTGTTTTGGTTTAGGTGAGTACAAATTTAACAACCGTAAAATAATAATAATAATAATAATAAAATTTATTATTTAACTTCCTCCGTGTAACAAACAAAAGTAATTAAAATTTATAAATAAATAAATAAAATTATTAATTAATTTTTTTTTAGAAGAAAATTTAAACGAAAAATTTTTCATCATGTCTGCGACGACTTTAAAATGTTTGAAAATTCCAAAAAAATTCCTTCTGGAACATAATCCCTGTAATATTTGGAACAGCATACGACTTTTTTTTTCTTTATATTTACCGGACGAGAAAAAAATATTGAAAAATTTCATTTGTCATAGAAATTGGATTAAAATGAAGAGGAAACTTTCGGAAAAGGCAACTTTGATTAAAAACATTCCTAATTACACTCTTGATGCCGATGTGCCATTTTCTTTACGTTTAATGGAGATTCCAATTGAGTAGCCATATTATTTAATTTACAATTTCAGGCTCGTTAATAATTAATTATTTGTTAAATTTTCTTTTTCTGTTTTTAATTCTACAATATTATTATTATTATTAATTTTTTTCCGATTGTTGTAATTATAAATAAAATATAAATTAAATTTTTTGAATTAATAAAAATATTCTCGCGTACCTGAGCTTTTTATAAAAATTAAATAAATAAAAAATAAAAAAAGATTGTTCGGGTCATTTAAATTATATTAAATACATCATTTTCTTATAATTATATTCCGAACCGGATGCTTTCAAAGAATAGCAACAAACAATTGCAAACATTTTAGCATAGTTTCAAAACCGTATAAGTTTTATTATTTTTTAATTTATTAACATTATTTCGTCGAAGGTATGAATACGTGGTGTAATAATCCATTTAACTCCATTTTTGTTTGTTTTTGTTTGTTTGTTTGGATTGTACGAAATATTTTTAAACAAACGACAAATTAAAAATTAATAATAAAATTAGAACGAAACACAAAATAAAAAAAATTTTAAATACATTCGATACCTGACACACACAAACACACACACACGTCATAGAGATAGAAAATTTATATTAACGTTAATAATAATAATAATAATAATAATGCTTAATATCATACGTATAATTATTATTATTATTATCAATAAAATATTTTACGTTAATAAATTTACTAAATCCATAATGCATAATAATAATAATAATATTTTTTTTTCCAAAAGAAAAAAGTTTTCCATCGATTTGAGGTTTGTAGAATTTTTTAAAATTTATTTATTAATGTTATTATATTTTTTCTATTAACCTTTAATAATAATAATAATAATAATAATAATAATAATAATAATGATGCTGATGCTGATGATAATGATGATTAAAAAAGGGTATTCGACGAAAAAATTATCAAAATGGCGAATGTTTAATAACTCGTATTGAAAAATTTTGGAATAATTTATAAATAATAATAATAATGATGATCGTAAGAAAAACGTTAAATTTAATAAATTGTATTTTGAAGAGTTAAAAGAAAAGTAAAAATATATCCTGGAGTCGGTCCTGAAACGTTAAAACACGCCCGTTTTGTTTTACCATTTAAACTTCCAATGGGAAACATTTAAAAAAAAAAAGGTAAATAAATACGATTAGATGAAATGGAGTTGTTATGTTTTACTGCGCAGACCTCGTTCTTTAAGATTTTCTTCATTATCTGTGGATAAACATAAAAAAGAATGGCGGAAGGCGGATCGAACGTGAACGTGTTGTTATTAACAATAATAATAATATTTCGACAAGTATTTTCAAATGAGATATTGTTCAGTACGTGTAAGGGAGACAGTCACACGCACACTCACAATTAAATACCTCTTTGTTATTATAGTTTATTAATTAATTAATAGTATTTAATTATTATTATTATTTTTTCTTTCTCTCTGTAATAATACGATGCGTAAAAAAGTGCGGATTTAATTTGTGTAATAATTTTCTTTCTTTTTTTTTTAATAATAAATGACAAAATCGAAATTTGATGAATTCATTTAATAAAACGTTTGTTCGTTTGTTTGTTTGTTTGCTCCGTAAAAAAAAATAACAATTAATAATTACATTAATTTGAATAATATTCGTGAGATTAATTTGTGCGCGACATTAAAAAAAATTTATAAACAAGGTTCGGAATATTCGGGTTGTTATTATTATTATTAAATATTTTTTCGTCGGGTATAATGGTGTCATATTATAATCCTTTAGTCATGTATCGTCATCAGCAGCAAAGTGCTCAATATTCGGCAGGTACGGCGGGTTGGTATCCGCAAACGACACAGCAATACCTTCCGACTTGCATGAGCGGCGGTGAAGTTGAACCTCATGCCGTCGGTACTCATTGGCACACACCCGACAGTCATAAATATCTGACATCTCATCATCCATCATTTTCTCCAGAATGGGCACAAGACTGTAATCATTTCCAGGTAATGTACCGTCGGAAAATTATCTTTTCTCTAAATCGATTCCTGTCGTAATTGTTAATTTGATATAAAACAACAGCAGAAAAAAAAATTTTTTTTTAACCGTCAATAATATCAAAATGGTGGTTTGTCGTAATAAAGACATGCTGTTGTCGTTTTCAACATAATCATTTTTTTTTTTTTTTTTTTTATCCTCTGGAGGAAAATTTTTATAGTGACTCAAACTAAGAGGGTTCGTTTCTTTTTTTTTTTTTTTTCTCCATAAATCAAAAGGAAAAATTAAAAAAGTCTGTACGCTGAACAAACGAAAAAAACATTTTTCTCAGGTTCGTACGATATTAGCAAAGGAAGTTTTTTTGAATTCTATTGACACGTCTTTTTAATATATATATTAAGGTTCGCGTAATTAAATGCCTTCCGTCGCTAGGTGAAACGTTAAATTTCCCGTCAAATGAATTATTGTCGCCCCCCCAAAAAAAAAATTGTGAATTAAATTTTTTAATTCGAATTAAAAATTTAATTTCTTTTTTTTTGGGGGGAGGGAAAGGGGGTTCGTGGGGGGGGGAGAGGAAAGATAGAGAAAGGGTTTTACATTCAGGTTCGGTAAATATAAAAATGTTTTTTTTTTTTTATCTCGTTTGAAATTTTTTTTTTTTTATATTTACTTTGTAGGAAGTGTAAATTGATTACAAACACAAAAATTTTGATTGTTTGTTGGTGTCATGCCGCCCCCATTAAAAGGGGCATATCAATGAAAAATTTTTTAATTTCTTTTCTTTTTCTTTTTAGCAGCCTTCGCCACCCATCAGCGAAGTTTCAAGTCCAGGTGGAGAAGGTTTAACATCTCCAAATGGTTTATTAATGAATCAAAGACCCAATTCCGTGAGGAGTCCTTACGAATGGATGAAAAAAACAACGTATCAGAGTCAACCCAATCCTGGTAAGTGTAACAAACGACAGATTTTTACGATTGTTTGGCTGTTTGTTGGTCGGCTCGAACGACGAAACAAAAACTAAACTTTATCCCCATTCCATCGTTTGTTTGTTTGTTTTTCATTTTCCCTTCATTTTGTTGCAATTAATCGATTTTCAAAATGTTTCACAAAGGTGTTGCTGTTGGGTGCCATAAAAATATCAAAAAAAAATTTGATTTACTGTCGGTAGTATATATATATAAGAATTTTTATTCATGTCGATTGACTGTTGTAAACCGGGAAGTAAACAAACAACTGTTGTTGTCCTTTAATTTATTTTTTCATTATTGTTTTATGAATTGTTTGTGTTTGTTTTTACATCTTTCGACGCGTGGTCTCTTTTTTTTCCTTTTCTTAAATAATATTTTGAAATGTGTATGCTACCACCTGAACTTTTTTTTTCCTGTCGAAAATAGAATTCGCCTCTTAACAACCGCCATTTTCTTTTTTTCTTTTTACTGCGCATTTTTCCACCATTATTAATTTGACATTTAATAAAAAAAAAAAAAAATACAAGTTTCAGGTGTGCCAACATTCCAACACAAAAGCTTTCAATAAGACTTTTATTGTTTATTTCTCAGAATAAAAAGAAATAATTACAAACTTTTTTTTTGTTTCGTGTAAATTAATAGTTTTTTTTTTCAAAAAGTAGTTAATTAGCACATTAAATGTTTAAATAATTCTTAGAAAAGGTTTTAAAAAAAGAAAAACTTTTCCATCGTTGGAAAATTCAGGATGAATCCGTGACGTATTAAACAAAAAACATCAAACTAACGTCAAAAGTTGGCATTTTTTCCCTCTCTCTCTCTCTCTCTCTCCCCCCCGAAAAAAAAAAAAAAAACATGGAGGAAAAAAACAAACAGCAAACGACAGCCATTTTTTTTTTTATGAATTTACGACGTCACAAATTATGTTTGTCAAAAAAAAAAGAAAATTGTTTCAAATGATGTAATTATCCAATCGGGGGGGAGGGGGGGAGGGACCGTATTATAAATAATAATTGGCATAATTAAATTTTACAACAAAATTATGTTTTTAATAAACACAACACACTCGGTAGTAGCAATATTGTTTGTTGTTTGTTGTTTGTTTTCGTCACAAGGTTGTCAATTTTATTTTGGTTGTTTTAGTTAAATGTAAATTTTCAAAAGGGCGTATTTGGGCGGGGGGAAATATTATTTGCGACGGTTTGCATTAACGGTTTATATTATTTATTACGCCTTTGTCGTTTTTTATTAAATTAAAAAAAAAAGGAAAAAAGGAAAAAGGAAAAACCAAGTTTACGAATATATTTATTTTTATGCGATCAAAATTAAAAAAAAATTTTAATTAACCGTAAAACATAAAATGAAGTCCAAAAGAATTTTGATATCTTTATTTTATTTTATTTTTTGTTTTATTGCCATTGATTAAAGCAAAAGTTAGGATTTATGTTTTTATTACCTGAATAAGAAAAAAGTTTTTTTTTTTTTTTTACATTGGTCCGACGAAACTATAAAATTATACACCGTTTTTTTTTTTTTTAATTTAATATATGTATATATATATATTACGATAAAAATCGACGCCATGTTTTTTTTTGGTTCAAGAGAAATCCTGTCGGACATGCAGGCAGGCAATGGCCAAGGGCTGTGTGTGTGGAAACCTTACAACCATAGTAATAAAACCATAAAAGTTTAGTCGGTCGTTGCATGTTCGTATCAAGGTGCCCCCCCCTCCTCATTAAAAATAAAAAATAAAAAATTAAAATATATGTATATGTTGTTGATGAGTTAGTTCAATAATTTTATTATCGTGGAGTTTTTTTTTTTTTTTTCATACGTTTTTGACTCTAAAATTTTTTCTTTTTCTTAACTATCTTGAGGGATGTGTCCACTCTTCTCTCCCCTCATAACCCCCTTCCATCCCCCCACCCTTTTTAATTTTTTTAAGTGGATATATTTTATTATGGCGTGGCGGCGGCGGCGGTTACACAGACATTTTGAAATAGTAAAATTTTCTAAAAGGAATAATAGTAGGAACCTTAACAAAAAAAACAAAATGGATGCCGTTTCTTTTTATTAATTATTATTATTATTATTTTTTAACTTTCATTAACATGGAATTGAAAGATTTTTTATGCAACGTGCAAAAAATTTAGAAAACTTGTTGTTGTTGTGGGTATTGTTTCGATTAAAAGTTTTTTTATTTTTTTTATTGTAGAAATCAAGGTGTGTGCGTGCGTGTGCGTGTCCGTATAACCAATGAGGAAGTAGTATTTTAACAATTCACACCATTCAAGTTTTTTTTTTTTTTTTTTTTTTTTTACGCGATTTCACATCTTTTTTTGTGTCGGTGCCGAACCTAAAACTGCTACATCAGTAGTCGGGGCCACTAAAATGGCACCGACAAACAAATTGTTTTTTTTTTTTTTTTTTTGGTCAGGTAAAGAAAGGTGTTTTCCACGTCACGCACTACCAGCACACGCACAATATTTTGACTCTAAAAAAGTTATTATTATTTGTTTAAAATTAATGAAACAAAAAAAAAAAAACATTTGTCGATTGTTTTTCTTCTTTTTCTTGATGACAATGTTTTGTGTTGACAAAATGCTCCGCCCTTAATATCTTCTAGTCTATCCACATCCATTTTTCTTTTCATTGTTTAAAAATGTCAAATTATTGTCTCTTTTGTTAAATGATCTCCTACTACCTTTTACGCACATTGGTCCATCCATTATTCATTCCATGACAACAACAAAAACATGTCAAATGTAACAACAAGTGTTGATTTTTTTTAAAAATTGTTTTCAAAACATGTCTTCATTTTCGACCAATCGTAACAAATCATTATTATTATTCGTTTTCGTAACTTTTTTCTTAAACGATAATAATAATAATTATTATTATATATATAAATATGAGATGGTGGGAGGAAGAGGAAAAAATGTAATAATTCGGTCTCTCTCAACATGGTGCGATTCCGGGCACGGATTCTACGTAAAATTTCCCCATGGGAACAAGAGCAATAATATACGAAATGTGATGAGATTTTCATTTTCTTTTAACTCGATATGAATTCTAATAATAATAATAATAACTAAATAAATTTTGTTTTAAGATTTCCAGAACTTTTATACGAAACAAAAAAAAAAAAAATTGACGTACGAAATATTTATAAAATCAAATTTAAAAATTTTTCTAGAATCGGTCGTTTGTTATTTCGATTTGACGACATCATTGACGGAAAATTATTTTTTTAAAAATGTTCTAGAAAATTCTATGAATCGATGAGAGAATTAAAATTATACCACGAAAAAAACCAGGACTAAATAATAAATTTTGGTTTTGTCAAATCGAAAAAAAACAATTTTCCAACGTAAAAAAAAAAAATGATAAAAACAATTAGATGCCATCAAAAAAAAAAAAAAATGATAACAACAACAACAACAACCGGTTATCTGTAGGAAAAACAAAACAAAAAAAATTTTTTTTGTCTTCTTCTTCTTTATTTTAAATGAAATTTGTGTTAAAGTTGAATTTGCGTCAGTAAAATTGAATAACAAAGAAAATATGAATGTTTGTTAGGGTTCCCTAATAATAATAATAATCTTTAAAACAGTTCTTTTTGTGTTGTTGTTGTTGCGGTTGTTGTTGTTTGTTTATTATTATCACGCATTACTTTTTTTTTTTTAAATTTATTTTACGTCGAGTATTTTTACAAATGAACAACAATCTTTTTTTGTTTTTAAATCAATTTTTTGGTTGTTTTCGAGAATGAATCTTTTTCTAAATCTGTTATCAAACGTACGATGAGTATAATTTTACCCTAAATTTAAAATTTGATAACAAACGACAACCAGTTTCCGCAAAAAAACGTTTTAAATTACGTATTTTGATCGTTTTTGAAAACTTTTCCCAATTATTTTGCGTTTTTTTTCGATCACGTGATTGTTTTTTTTTTTTAATATTTAAATTTAAACTTATGTTAATATTATTGATCGTTTGTATGTGCCGATTAATAATAATAATAATCTCGTTGTTTAAAAAAAAAAACCGAACGTTTTCGTCCGAGGAAAAAACAAAAACAAACAAACAACAATTTTTTTTTTCGTAATTCAAAAAAACTTAATAAAAGATTATGTGATTTTACAAACAAATCAGTTTTTTTTATATTTTCCCAATGTGTTTACATTTTCCTAAAGAGAAGGAAAAAAGGAAAGAAAGAAAGAAAGAAAAAAAATATTTAAAAGATAAAAAAAAAATTGTGACGTGCCTTCGTTATCAAACGTCAAAGTATCCGCCCTTGTTAATTTGTCGGAACAAATCCTAGTTGATCTCTCTTGAAAGTCGAAAGAATTTAAGATTAAACCCCCTCCCCCTCATGCCCCCCCACGAAAAAGTTTATCATCAATTGGGAATGCATATGTCGTTCGACACCTTTTTTCCTTCTTAATGCCATATTGTGCAACGCGGTTTAATTTTTAACGTTTTTTTATGAATTTCAGGTAAAACAAGAACCAAAGATAAATACAGAGTCGTTTATACAGATCATCAAAGGTTAGAATTAGAAAAAGAATTTCATTATTCAAGGTACATAACGATTCGTAGAAAGGCAGAATTAGCAAGTAATCTCGGATTATCAGAGCGTCAAGTAAGTACCCAAATAAATAAATAAATAAATAAATTTTTTAAAAATTTAAAACGTTTGCCCGATTTAACGTCGTCTGATCAAAGAAAATCCACGAAAATACCAAAAAAAAATTTGTGTGGAAAAAAAAATAAAAACGTGAATCATGTTTTGAAAGAGAGAGAGAGAGAGAGACAGACGGAGGGAAATAAGTAAACATTAACCGTAAAAAAAAAAAAAAAGTTTTTTAAAAAAAAAAGCACAATAAAATAAAAATTTAGAAAGAATCGCCATTTTGCAACGTAAAAGAAATTTTTATTTTATTTTATCATCTGCTAAAATATTCATTGTCATGACAAATATCGAAAAAGGATAGACCTTTTTTTTTTCTTTTTTCTTTCTTTTGATTATAAAAAATATTTTTGTGACCTTGAAATAAATATAAAAAAAAGGAAAAAAGGAATAAAAAAGTACTTTTTTTTTGTGTTAAGAAATTTGTTGGTCCCTTACCAAAAAGGAAAAAAAGAAAAAAAAATTTTTTTTTTTTTAAAAAAAAGGTCCGCTCTTTGTCGGTGAAAATTTGTGTGAAAGGTTTGAGAAAGCAATAAAATAGGTAAAAAAAGAAAGAGAGAGAGAGAGAGAGAAAATGGTGATTTTCCAACGACAACAAAAACCAAAAAAATTTTTTTCCCGGTCTTTTTTTCTTCTCTCTCTCTTTCTCTACAATCGGCCCGTTTAATATTTTTTTCTATTATTATTATCATCATTGTAATTTTTATACACGTCTCAGGTAAAAATTTGGTTTCAAAATCGTCGGGCAAAAGAAAGAAAACAAGTTAAAAGAAAAGAAGAAACACAACAGAAAATAAAACAAGAAGTGATCGATACTAGGCATACACCCGTCGGTGGTATAGACATACATGCTGCTGCTGCTGCTACTACTACTCCACTACATCATCACATACAGCAGCAGCATAGCGTACCCATGTCTGTGGTACACGGGGTAGTCGGTGGAGGAGGTGGTGGTGGTGGAGGAGGAGGAATGGGACTTATGTGACCAACACCAGAATATTTTATTAATGTCGGTGAATCTTACGATGAAACTTTTTTAAACGAAAGAAACGCATTGAGTAATAATCAGTGTAGGCAGCAAAACTGGTGAAAGTGTATTTAAAAGTTTTATGATCTTTTCTTTCCCCCCCCCTATGTGTATATATATATTTGTTGTTGTTTTATTAATTTGTAAAAAGGAAACAAAGGAAAAAAGGAAAGCAGGAAGGAAGGATAACCAAACTTTGTTTTAAAATTTGACATTTTCAAAGCGGTGAAAATAAGTTTTTTTGTTTTTTTTTTTGTTTTTAAACATTAAACGTTTTTTTTTTTTTTTTTAAATTTAATAGATTTAAACACTTAGTAGACATTTTAAAATAATAATAATAATGATAAATTAACTATGACGATTTAAATAATTATTAATAAATTTATTTTTAATTAAACAAATACGAATAAATCGCGATGAAAAAACATGTTATGTTACGCAAAACATAATGTCCCTCCCTTATTATCCAACCCTTAAATAAAATGCGCAAGTAATTTTTTTTCCCAACACCCATTATATACATTTTCTTTCGGAAAAAGGTTTAAATACTATAAATATGAGAGAGAGAGAGAGAGGAGAGAGAGAGAGAGAGAGAGAGAGAGAGAGAGAGAGAGAGAGAGAGAGAGAGAGAGAGAGAGAGAGAGAGAGAGAGAGAGAGAGAGAGAGAGAGAGAGAGAGAGAGAGAGAGAGAGAGAGAGAGAGAGAGAGAGAGAAAGAAAGAAAGAAAGAAAGAAAGAAAGAAAGAAAGAAAGAGAGAGAGAGAGAGAGAGGAAAAACAAAACAATTGCCTTCAAATCATTTTGTTTTTCACTTACTAAAAACACAAACGATATATTTCGTACGCATATATTTTAAACGTGACAAAATATATAAATATACATGTTATTATTATTATTATTATTATTATTATTATTAATATAATTATTAATATTAATCATTAATATTAATTATAATTATACGTGAAATAAATTTTTAATGCATTTGACAATTACACCTCACGTCATACATTTTACTTAAATAATATTACGAGAAAAAATGTTTCTTTTAATTCAATATAAATATATATTATCATTATTATTATTATTATATTTATAATATTTTGTTGTTGATTTAAATGAGAAATTATCGAATTTAATAAATTTATTGTTTTTTTTTTTTTATTAATATGAATCGCTTTTTAAATAAATATGGACGCTATCACACATACACACAATCGTGCAATCGTGTTTTCACTTATTATTATTATTTTTTTTTTTTAATAATGAAATTTAAAATAAATTATGTATAATTAATAATTGCATTTATGTATAGAAAAGAAAAAGAAATTATTATTATTATTATTTTATCAATTAATTATTAATTAATTAATTAATTTATGATCTTTTTGTGTGCCTTCTGGTGTGTAAAAAAAAAAAAAAAATGTGCGTTTGTTATTATTAAAATTATATATATATAGTTAGACGTATTAACCGTTTGTTTTGTTTTTGTGCAAACAACCTTTTAAACATTTTTTTTTTTTTTTTAAATGCGAAGGTAAGCGTTAATGGATAAGCGATAATAATAATAATAATAATACATAACGCTAAAACCTTTAATTATTATTATTATTATTTTTTAGTCAAAGGATAGTAAATGATGATATTTTAAAATATCAACAAGAGTCGATTTCAAAATTTTTTACATTCAGCCATTTTGTTTTTTTTTTAACGAATATCATCTATGCTTTTCTTTTTATCTAGATTTATGCGGGGGGGGGGGAGAAATAGTGAAGAAAAAAGTTCAAATAATGTCATGACCTTTTGTTAAAATGATTTCGAAAATTTTCTTCGTATTCTATTTGTATAGGAAAAAAAAATGTTTTACACGTCGTCGGACATTTTGAAATTATACATAAAAATATTTATTTATTAATTAATAAATAAAATAATTAATTAATAATTTACACCTACGATTCGTTGTAAAAAATTAAAGGCGCGAATTGAAATTTGATAACGCAAAAAAAAATTTTTTTAAATAAATTAATTTTAAAAAAAAACAGGTTTGTTTAAAAAAATAAATAATATTAATAATTAATTAAAATTATGCAAAAGAAAAAGGTACGAGCCTGTAATTTTATTTAATTAATGTAAAAATGAATTAAAGTCGGCGGGGGTGGCGACGGGAAGGGCGTGAGGGGCGGAAAATTAACAAAGAAAAAAAAAATGTCTGACTTTATTCTCTTTCTATTATTAGGAAATAAATGCTTCGCGAATGTTTTTTTTTTCTCTCTCTTTCGCATTATTCGATATAATTATTATCACTTACGATATAATCAACTGTTATCAATTTTCTCGACATACCGGAAATGAATTTTCCGTTAAAAATTTCCCCAAGAGAAAAAAAAAAAAATTAAAGTAGAATTAATTAATATTTTTTTTATTATCATTCTCATGTCATGTTTTTTCTTTTTCTTTTAAATAATCATCATCATCATCATCATTATTATTATTATTATTATCGGAGTGGTTAAGGGCGTTTGTTATACATTTAAATATTTTTTATTACAATCTTTCTTTTCCATTCTTTCTTTTGTTAAAATTTTTTTTTTTTATTGTTTTAGTAATAATCTACTTTTAAAAAAAAAAAAGTTTCAATAAAATATGTTTGTTTGTTTGTTTGTTTGTTGTTAAGAACAAAACAAAAAATAATAAAAATAAAAAGTTTTTAAAAAGTAAAAAAAAAAAAAAAAACATGGAAAAACAAGTTGTTGTTGTTGTTGAAGGAGTTTGTTATAACTTTATAAAATAGTCCCAAGAGTTCCATTTTGCGACCACAAACAACAACAACCAGGACAAAAAAAAAAGGAGGAGGAGGATGAGGATGAGGGTGTTATTTCAAACTATTTACACTCTCTTTTCATTACATATATTTCATCCCCCGATCGAATGCACCCCCTTTTTTTTTATACGCTCCGTCTTAAACTTCACCGACGACATTTTTTTTTTTGTAACCGTCAAATTTTCCTTTGTATTCGAAATTAAAATTTAAAAAGAAAAACCGTTAAAATTATAAATTAATTCTTTTTTAACCGCATTTCCGGTTTAATCAGGAACTAAACCAATCGATAAAGAGATTCGATTGGTTTTTTTTATAGAAAACATTCGGGAAATCGTTGTGTTTTGGAAACATAACCTTTCTCAACAATTTAAACAACAACAAACAATTTTAAATATCGATACGTGTTTTGTTTGTTTAAAAAAAAAAAAAATTGTTTTAACATTTATAAGGATGCGATTACGACGATAAAATCCGTATAACAAATAATTTTTTTTTTAATAAAATTTTCCTTTGTCGGTACTTTTTTAATTTTCCTTTTAAAAAAAAAATGATTGTCGCTTTTCCTTTTAAATAGAAAGAGAGAGAATTATTAGGGATTACCTGGTTTTAATAAGTTTTTTTGCATAAACGAGTAAAAGCGCCGCGATGACGTAATTTTTTTTTAAAAAAAATAATAATAATTGTTTAAACAAATGAAATCACCCTTGTTGTTGTTGTAAAAAAAAAAATTGTTTTCGATCGTAAAAATTTTAGAAAAGAATTGAAAAAATAAAAAAAGTTTTTGTTGTTGTTTATACGAGATGAAAATGAAGATACAGAAAGATGAATTGATGCTGTAAATTTAAATATAAAAAAAAAAGATGCCACCGTTTAATGCCAAGAATTTCTTTTCTTTTTCGAGGGGGATGTAGGGGGAGGGGGCTCTAAATCCTTTTGTTATTAGAACGTTTTAAAGTAATAAAATGAAAGAAAGATTTTTGTCAATACAAAATAATAATAATAAAACATTTTCTTTTATGTTTTTCTTTTTTTTTTAACTTATAAAATTGTTTTCGGTTTTTATTTTTATTTTTATTTATCCTTTTCTTTCTTTTCTTTTCTCTCTCTCTCTTATTCTTAAAT